GACAAATTATTCAATGACTTGTCTCAAGTTAACAATCTTGGAAAAGACTGGAAGGTGCTCTACAGTGTTCAGGTGACATAAAAATAGACCCGTATTGATCATACAAATCTATCATGAGAAGGTGACATCAAGTCGTCGTTCTGTCATGCGTTCACGCCTCACGGAGCACGCTCCCCGAGCTGTCCTGGTGGGGGACTGTGCCCTGCGCCCCGAGCCAGCGCTCTGCTTCCCGGGGGGGACGGCCCCGCCAGGGACACAGGCGGCCACAGGCCTGTGACAACCCACGGCCGACGCGGGCTCCACCTAAGTGGGAGCGGCCGCCGCACAGGGGCGGTGCATCCCGCATCTCCGCTTGCGCAAGGCGCTGCGCGCCCGGTGTGAACGGGTGGGCGGGGGCCCGGGGCGGGGGCCCACCCGGTCGGGGTGCTCTGCGGCCAGCCGGCAGATGGCCCGAGGCGGGCTGCCCCTTCGCGGGGCATGCCGTGCGATTCCAAACTCAGACTAAAACCACACGACTGGGGAGTCACAGCATGCAACCGCGTGCGAATGGCTTGGGTGTGCACGGATTTCACGGGGTGAAGGCAATACCGCTCCCCTCGGCAGGACGGTGCGGGAGCGTGGGGCCACTGCGTGACAGGCAGTGGGTCCCTCGGGGTCCCCGGGGCGAGGGGCAGTCCCCTGAGACATGCGCTTCGTGCCGGGCTACGCGGGGGCTGCTGGTGGGAGGCAAGAGACACGTGCTGGCTGCCAGTGGGCCAGGCGCCCACAGCACAGGAGCCCAGACGCAGCGGCCGAGCGGCCGTCCCCACGGGCCGTCCCCACGGGCCGCCCACACGTGCTTAGTAAGCCCAAGAGGCTGGGCGGGTCTCCTGGGGTTCGCCTGGGTAACCCCTCTGTCTCCACGTCAATTCTCGGTAAGAGCCTGCACTGGACACCACACGCCTAACATGTGAGCGGCCAGGCCCGCAGGGCTCAGGGTCCGGGGGCGGGCCGGGGGGGCGCCGGTACCAGGTGTTTCCAACGCCACGCTACCCATCGAGGTCCCCGAGGGTCTGCGCTCGGACGTCCCCTGGTGCCCGGGAAGAGGCACTGGCCGCCTCCCCCAGGCCAGCAAGGTGACAGGGACATGGTGGCTCTGACCAGGCGCCGGGGGCGGCGTTGGGTCCAGGTAACCGGAGAGGTGTGTGTGATTCGGGGGCAGCTGGGGACCCGGCTCTGTTGCGTCTTAAGTTGGGGGGCCTTACAGACAGGGTCGGCCTGTGGCCCATGGACAGTCTGTCCCCTGAGACTGGGACAGGTTGTGCTCTGGGACACGGTTCAGGACAGGAAGTGGGACCAGACACGGGAGGGGTGTTCCAGGCTGAACACCTTCCATCCGGAGGGGCCTGCAGCGAAAGGTGGGCGGGCTCGCCCTCCCCCCACCCCGCGCGCACACACACCCGTCACCCAGCTGGCGTCTGGTGCGGGGAGGCCGCGCCCGGGGCAGGCCCAGTGCGAGCTGCGGGGACAGGCCGGTCGCCTGGCGGCCCCGCCACAGAGACGCTTGCGTGTGTGCGGTGAGCTCGGGGCCCCGTGGGGGCGGCCGTCGGGGGCTGCGCCCGCGGGGCCCTGCCCCTTTCAGGGGGAAAACCTAAGTCAGGTCCCAGCCGCCGGGGCCAGGCCGTGCTGGTGTGACCAGCTGCCCTGCTGGCCACACCAGCCCCGCCCCCTCGCTCCAGTCCCCCCGACACCCCAACACCCCCGCCCCCCCGCGGGGCCCACGCTGCCCCCAGACCCCCCTCAGCTCCTCCCACCGGCTCACACGGGATCGCACGCCCGGGCTCCGCCTCCCCCGGGAGACTGGCAGCCGGGAGCAGGTACCCCCCTGCTGGGCCGCAGGGCCCTCCCACGCTCCCACTAGGGGTCCTCAGGCCCTGCCCTCCCCCCTGCCCCCACTAGGGGTCCTCAGGCCCTGCCCTCCCCCCTGCCCCCGCAGGCCCAGTGGGCCGGGTCCAGCTGGGAGACTGGCCTCAGCCCACCCAATGCAGGCGGGACCTGCCGGGGCCCATGGAGCCGCATCCGCCCGACGCCCCCATGCCCGCTTCGCGCCCCGCGGGCCCCCGGCCGCGGCCTGTCCTCACGGCCGGGGGCGCGTGGGGGCGGCCCCTGTGCTGTCCGCGGAAGCCCGAGCGCCCGCAATCGGCCTCTGACGCGCAGGCCAGTAGCGCAGAGCGGCCCTGCCGCTGAGCCCGGCCCGTCCGGGCCTGAGCTGCACCCCCCACAGCCTGTGAGCCCACGAAGCCCCATGAAGAGCTGCCCCCTGACCTGCTGCGGAGCCTGGGGTTTTAAGGGGAAGGGAGGGCCCGACCGCAGGCGCAGGCTTCCGCCGCGAACCCCGGAAGCCCCCGGCCACGGGGACGGCCGCCAGGCCCAGGGACGCTGCTCGGCCTCCGGCCTCCAGCCGACCCCAAACCTCCATCCCAAAACCAGCCGCCTCTGGGAAGGTCGACTGTTTTTCTTTCTTTACTTTTGCCATTGTTTGTTTTTTGTTGTTGTTTTTTTTAACTGAAGCCATTACGAAACGGGGTAGTCAGGTCCTGGGGGTCGCTGCGTATAAAGTCTACGGGTCTGCCCGTCCTCAGGATCGAAAGCACCAACGCACCTCCGTGGCCCGCCCCTTCCTGCCCCATGCCGCGCGTCCGGCGTCCATCCCTGTGACAGGCACCCCGGCCACAGGACGCGCCTGTGCCAGGCAGGACCTGTGACCCGGGGTCCCGGGGACACACGGCGCAGGAAGGGGGCGGACGCCGGAACCGAGACAGGTCCCGGGGAAAACCTCAAGCCCGGCCGGCCCCCTTCCTTCCGGGGCGGCAGTAACCACAGGGAGCCACCCGAGGCGGCAGCGAGGACGGCGGCACATTTCCGTCAGGGACACGACTCGGGTGCTGGGAGGCTGGCGGGTCTCATCCAAGCCCAGCCCACGGCCGCCCGTGCACCAAGCCGACGGGCATCCTGGCCGGAGGGACGGCCCCGAGGAGGACCGGCAGGGCTCACGCCGGCCCTCTGCCCCGAGCCCGGCACCACGGCCACCCCGGGGGGCACTGCCCGAGCTGGGCGGGCAGGGAGGGCCGGGGGCCGGGGTCACCGCACCGCGCCCTCGAGCCAGGCGAACGCCTGTGCAGGCCTGTCTCTGAGTCGGTAGTCTGCTTGGGCCGGCTTGTCTCTACACTGAGAGTTAGTTATTGCTTCCGGTGACACCAGGTACAGGGAAGCCCTGGTCGGTGGCTTTGGAGTCTGACGGTCACGTCAGGGCCGGGTGGCTCACCCGACGGAGCGGCCGGCCCAAGGCCGGCGGTCCTTGGAAGCGTTTGGAAGTTCGGGGCTGCGTTCTGCTCTGCTGAGGCCAAACACAGGCATGCAAGGGTCATGCGGGGACGGGGGGGTCATTGCAAAGGGCAGGGCGTCGCCAAGCAGGGTGCGATGCGTCAGGAGCATCACGCACCGGCGTGGGGTGGGGGGTGGCCCTCCTTCACTGCGTTGGGATCGAGGGGCGGCACCGCTCCCAGCGCACTATTTACAGAGCCTCTGGCCGCTGGAGAATCCCACTCAAAGGCCCGAACGTTTGTGCGTGAATATTGTACACGGTTAAAAGTAAATAAGGCAACACAACAGTCGTATCACAAATGAGGAGGTGCGTCCCCCGCTCCCCAGGGAAGGTAGGGCTGCCCCGCCCTGCCTTCCCGGCAGCAGGCGGGTTTGCTGATGGCTGAGGGGTGGCTCCCGGGGACCTTGCGGTCCAGAGCGGTCGCCCGCATTTCACGGCTTTGCACACAGGGGTGGTCTGCGGACCAGGGCCCCACCCTGCGAGGTGACGGTTGAGAGTCTCATGGGATGTCCGGCGTGTCCAGCTGGCGGTCAGCCGCGTCCACCTGCCCCTGCTCACGGGGTTGCCCCAGTGGCTGTGGTTGGGGCCTCCTCGCCTCCCACCCCCTGCGGCCACGGGTCTTCGAACCGTCCTGACAACCCTACTGCCCTCCCCCACTTCTGAGGGGACACAAGGTCACCCAAGCCCCCCGGAGAGCAGGGTCCTCTCCCCAGCTTGCGGCCACAGCCGTAGCTCGCTCTGCAAGGCGCCCATTGGTGTGCGGCAGCACAGTCCCGGCTCGGGGGCCACGTCCAGCCCCCCGACCTGCTTCTGAACAGAGCGATGGCCATCGCCAGCCCGACGCAAGGGGGTCCTCAGAAGGAAAAACGGTCCCCGTCCCGCGTTGCTGCCGCCCACACGGCCCGGCGCCGCCTGCCTGGGGGCGTCACGGCCTCCCCGTGGGAGACCACGCCCGCACCCACGGGCCCGCCGGCAGCCACCGCCCTGCCAACCGCAGCCGGGCCCTGGGCTCGTGGCATGAACTCTGACGCACATGCCAGGGCTGGCTCTGCCGGAGAGCCTCCTGCCGGCGGGGAAGCTTCTCGCGCTGTGAGCGGCACTTGTTTTCAGAGTCAGCGAAGCCTCGCACGGCCGGTTGCCATGCGGGAGCCCAAGCGGCCCTCGGGCAGTCGGGCCCGCGCCGACCCTCCGGCACGGCAACGGGACGGAGCAGGGTGCCGGGCTCCTGGGCAGAGCGGGGGGCGGCCCGCACGGATGGCACACACCGGCCACAGCGCAGAAGCGTGGCCGCAGAGCCCCCAGGATCCCAGGAGACCGGCTTCCGGCGCTCGGCAGAAAGCGACCCTTGAGGAGAGCCTGCAGGCCCTGCCCGGCCGCGGGACCGGACTCCTCGGCCCCCCACCCCGTCCGTCCAGGGCCCGGCGGCTCTGGGCCTGTCTGACCCTCCCTCGGCCACTCCGGACTCCCGTAGGCCGGCTCGCGCGGCTCTCCGGGAGCCTGCCGCCCGCGCTCACCCGGCAAACCTGGGGAGCCGGCCGCTCCCCACGGGGACAGGACAAGCGGCCCCAGCTGCCCTGCAGCCTAGTGTCCGTGCGGGGGGGGCTGCCCCCCCCCGGTCCCTGCCCCGCTGCTCGCCGCTCGGGTCCTGCCTGGACAGCGCCCCTTCCCCAGCCGGCCGCCCGCCCCGCCCTGCTCTGCTGGCCGGGCTGGTGCTGCCGGAGCGACTGAGGCCCCGAGCGTCTGCCCTGTGCCCCCAGCGGCCAGCACGGCTCCGCTAAGCCTCCTTCCCAGCTGCTCCTGGGGGCGGGTATGGGGCCGGGGGCCGGGGCGCGAGCCCCGAGCCCTGCGGAGCCCCCGGCCCAGCTCCAACCGGGAGGCCGGCCACGGGGGGCGCCAGGGCACGGCCCGTGGCCGGCCCGGTCTGGAGGCCGGCCCTCCCGTAAGGACACGTTTTCCGCCCGGAGCTCAGGGACCTGGTGTGCGAGCCGTTTCCCTCGGTCCTGCCTTCCAGGAAGTAGGTCAGCATCTCGCCCTTGCCCTTGACGCTGACCTTGCCGCGGCACAGGAAGTGGTAGGCACCCTGCCGCAGCAGCAGCCGCTGCACCTCCTCGGTCACCTGCGGGGCAGAGCGGGCGGGGCTCGCAGGCGGGAGCGGCAGGGCTCGCGCGCCCGCGGGAAGGAGGACGTGTCGTCCCTGAGAGGCCTGCAGCCAGCGCCTCGGGGGCCGGGGGTGGACTGACCTGGATCCGGCCGGGGACCCCGGTGCTGTCCATGCGACTGGCCACGTTGACCGTGTTTCCCCAGATGTCGTACTGCGGCCGGCGAGCCCCGATCACCCCGGCCACCACGGGGCCGACGTTTATGCCTGGAACACAACCGCCCGGGGGCGGGTCACGGGGCGCTTCCAGGGGGCGGCGCCGCCCCTGAGGGGCCACAGGCTCCGCGGGTCGCCTGCTGCCACGGCGCCCCTTCCTGGGCAGGACCCACCGCCTCCCGGGCCGCACCGCCCTGACCCGGGAACTGCACCCGCCCCCGCGCGGAGCCCGGCCCCGGGGAGGCGGACCTCTCGCTGTGGGGTCCCCGGACGCCCCCTGGAGTTCCCGCCCCCAGGGGAACCGTGGCTCCCGCCTGTCGCCCTGGATGGGCTGTTTTGGGTGCGGGGCCCGGAATGGACCGCAGCCTCTCAGGACGCTCTGAGGGGGGAGTGAGGGCCCCTTGTCTTCACAGGGCGCGGGGTCGGCGCCGGGAGGAACGCGAGATGGCCCTGCGGCCGCCGTCCCACTCTGCCCTCCGGCGTCGATCTTTCTGGCTGTGGCCAAGGGAGTCAGTACCATTTTGGACCCCGGCCTAATGGGTCCCCCAGAGCCGGGCAGTGGGGCTGGGAGGCTGGGGAAGGGCAGGGCAGGGACGGAGCTCGGCCGTGTGAGCTCCACCGTGGCCAGGCAGACGGGAACCCAGGGTGAGCGCTTCCTCTATGGCTGGGGGACACAGGGAGCCCCCACGGCCAAACAGGGCGCCCGGGGCCATGGGGACGACGCTGAGCCAGCGCCTGGCCCCCCGTGACCGGCTATCAGGCACAGCGGCCGGGCCAGTCTGTGTGGTCCCCGTGGGAGACAGAGCAACAACGTCCCCGATGGACCCCCAGAGCTGCCTCCGGTGCCTACGCATCCAGTCAGAGCCTCGGCCGGAGGGGAGGCCTACATGTGGGGCGGGGGGCTGGCGCGCTGCCCTCCAGGCGCAGGGGGACGGCGGCGGAGCTGGGCGGAGGCCCCTCTGAGCCCCGCTCACTCTGAGGGTCGCCTGCCCCCGCCCGGACCCGCAGTCCCAGCTCTCAGGTCTGCTTTTAAATTCTGAAACCACTGTAAACGTCCTGTTCAATTCTATCGGCAGCTAGGAAGAATTTTTCTGGTACTGTCTTCATCTCAGGAAAAAACTGAATTCAAGATGGAAACTGATCCTGCAGTTTTGTAAAAGCCAGCGAGGGACTTAGAGCTCCCTCTCCTCACTCCCGGGCTGGGGGCGCCTGGGAGGACAAGGACCCCCAGCCCGCACATCGTACCGCACCCCTGTCTGGGGTCAGCGGGCGGGAACAGAGCGCTTCCCACCAGCTCCGTGTGCACCTTGAGACGCGTCTCGGTGCCGCGACAGGAACGGAGATTTCTGGGTGTTTGACCAGCTGGACCTTAACCCTGCCAGGTTCACGGCGCTGACACCCCACTTTCCAGAGGCAGCTGCCCCTGCGTTCCCCAAGCTGTCCCTCGGGCAGGTCCCTCTCCTCCATCAGCTCGCCCTGCTCCCAGGGGAGGGCCTGGCTGCCATCTCCCCGCCCCCCGTGCCGGCCGCGGGCACCTACCCACGCGGAGCACGAAGTCGTTGTAGGACTGGTAGTTGATCTCATCCAGGACGTCGAACATCTCGATGGCGAAGTCGGCCAGCGTGCCGAGGTGCGAGGAGACGCACTTCTTAGCCTGGACGTGAGCGGACATGGGCGTCACGTTTGGGGGAACGAGGGCTGAGGGGCAGGGCGGCTGCTGGTCGTGGGGACCAGCCTGCGCCCTGCTGGGATCGGGGTCCCCCCTCCCACAAGGCAGCCCCCTGACCGCAGGCCATTCCTGTGTACCCCCAGCGGCCCCCGCGACCGGCAGGAGCCTGAGGTGGAGGCCGCTGGGCCCAGGACAGCCCCTGGCAGGCAAGCAGGCAGCCCCTGGGGGTGGGACACTGCTGCCACCAGGCCACAAGCCGGGAGCACAGGCCAGCAGGGTCCCCCAGGAGCGGCCAGCTCTCCCTCCCACACGGGTCCGAGTCTGCCATCGTTCCGTGGCGCGGAAGTGCCAAGTGACAATTCCACGTGTTTTTAAAGACACCAAGATTTCTCATTATTCTTTTTTAAAGGATATTTTACTAGCCCTCAAATGTAGGAAACGACGGCCTTTTTTCAGAACAGTTTCCGATCTGCAGGTAACTGAGCCCAAAGTACAAAGAGTCCCCAGGCACTGCCCCCGACGGACGCACCCAGAGCCCCCGCTGTTGGCTCCTGGGTCAGGGCCGATGCACTAGTGGCCGCGGGTCCACTAGTACCCGCCACGGTCCACACTCCACATTAGGGTTCACTCTACGGGCTTTACGTTCTGTGGGTTTTGACAAATGTCTGCCTAATCGTAGTCTAACAGAGGACAGTTTCACTGGAAGAAATTTCTCTCGGTCAGCAGATTGTCTTTTCATTATAGTGTTTTCCACAGAGTAGAATTTTAAGTTTTGAATTAGGTCCAACCCACCCACGTTTTGTTTCATGGGCTGTGCCTTTGGTCTTGAGCCTCAAAATGCGTCGCCGCGCCCACGCCGCCTCGACTTTCTGTCACCTTCCTGATGTTTTAAGAGTTTTCCATTTTACATTTCTGTCTGTGACCCATTTCGAGCTAATTTCTGTGAAGAGTGTAAAGTCTGCGTGTAGATTCATTTTTTAAAATAGATCGCCAGTTGTTTCCGCACTGGTAAAAAATCTATCTTTGCCCTGGCTGCTGTGGCTCAGTGCAGTGAGCGCCGGCCCGCAAACTGCAAGATCGCATTCGATTCCCAGCCAGGGCAGGTCCCCAGTAGGGGGCGCACAAGAGGCAACCACACGTGGATGTTTCCCTGTCTTCCTCCCTCCCTCCCCTTCCCTGTAAAAATAAATAAATAAACTCTAAAAGAAAAACAAAGTCTACCTTGGCTGCGTTTGCCTTTGCCCCAGCTCGGGGCCCCCGCCCACGGATCCCTTGTCTCTCCCTCTGTCAGCACCGCGCCAACCTGATTTCTGCGGCTTCCTCTGAGTCTAGCTCAGGTAGAGTCAGCCCCTCTCTGCCTCTCCTTCAACACCGCGGGGCTACCCCGTCTTCCGGCTGCACACAGACTCAGGCTGACGTCGCCGAACCACCTGTGGAGGGGCTTCTGGCGGGGCTCCCATGGTGCCTGCGGATCGACCGGGGGCTCCCCAGCCTCACAGCGGGAACGAGAACCCTCTGCACCCGAGTTTTGTGGGTTTCCGCGTACGGCCCTCGCACGCAGCTTTAGGTTTACGTCTGGGGTTCCCTTGGGGGCCCGGCTTAGGTGACGTGTTGTGTTTTTATTTCAGTTCCACTTGTTCATTCCCCGTACCTGGGAAAGCTATCGACTTTCGTAGATTAATCTCATGTCCTGCGACCTGGCTACGCTCACCCACTCACTCGTCAGCTCTCTCTGTTGACGTCAGCCGCTGGACCTGCCCAGCACCGGTCACCAGCCACCGCGGGGGGCTCCTCTCCTTCTCCTGGCAGCTCTGCGGGGCCTTCCTCCCGCCTTCTCATTCTCCGTTACGTGCAAACGCGCTAAAGAGGGTTACGTCTTGCAGGGGCGACCCGGCCATGACCCTTTATCCCTGTCTGATGGCGCGCCTTCATCCGAGGCTGGCTCTGCGGGCGGTCAGGCTGCCTGAATTTTTATTACCGCTAACCTACTGCCTCTTTCAACGTCCTTTTATTTCTAGTGCATCCCCGCGTGTCTTTAGAGCTTAGGCGTGTTTGCTGTGGAAAACCTCGTTGGGTCTTTTTGAAGCCACTCTGTCATCTGTCCACCTTTCAGTCGCGTGTTTACCTTTCCCGCTTACAGTGTTCATCGCTGCGACTGGGTGGCACGGTTTTAACTGGTTTCCGTTCGTTGCATTTTTTTTCTTCTTTTTTTCCATCACCCTTTTCCTGCTTTTTTTTTAAGGGACAACCTGAGGACCTTGGGCTCCGTTCTGCGCAGGGGACGGGGAGCACGCGGGGGGCCCGGGCTGCAGGGAAAGGGCGGGCTGTGGGGGCGGGGGAGCCCCCATGACCGCCCTCCGTGCCGACCTTCCAAGGCGGCTCGTCTGGAGGGAGCTGGCCACCGACAAGGTGGCCGATGCAGGGTGAGCCCGAGGCCCTAGCGGGGCCTGGCCCGGGGCCCGGGGCAGCCGGGGACAGGGCGGGGTCACCCCGAGTGGGGCTCCGGGCGGCACCCACCTGGGCCTCGGCCGCGGGCGCCAGCCCCACCGCGGCCATGTAGGTGCTGCCGATGGTCTTGATCTTCTCCAGGTCCTGGTAAAAGTCCTTGTCCATGAGCTTGTTGAAAACACAAAACTGTTCAACGTTACATTACATTTTAGACAAGTCGCCGTGACCATCGACGCCCGGGGCCACCACTGAGCAAGGGGGGGGGCAGAGGGGGCGGGGAAGCACTGTGTCCCTCAGCCGTGGGCGCCCGGCCAGGTCTGGGCTGAGCTGGGAAAGGCGGGTCTGGGAGCTTCCGCAAAGGTCTTCGAGGGGGAGCCGGGGGGACATAGAGGGGGCCCCGGGGAGGGGCAGACGCAGCGCCAGCCTCACAGCCCTACGCCCGCCCAGCGGCGCTCCTCCCTGTCCTACCTGGACCAGGGAGATGGAGGCGCGGGCTCCCGTCCGGCCCCGCGCGGGCGCACGCCCCCCGAGGGCAGAGGCGGCCCCTGGCGCCCTCACCTCGTCAAAGTCAGCGATGATCTCGTTGAGCAGCCGCAGGCACTCCACGCCCATGTTGTTGCCGTCCAGCTCGATGTAGAAGTCGTTGAAGTTGGGGATGGACGCGAACATGACGCCCACCTGGGAGTACGACTGGTAGTAGAGGTCCTGGGGGCAAAGGGCGGGTCAGCGGGGAGTGGGCGCAGGGCACCCCGCTGCAGCTAGGAGGGCTCGGAGGGGCCGGGGCCGCGGGCGGTCCACCCGCAGCCGGGGTGGAGCAGGGCGAGGAGGCCGCCGCGGCCTGCGGCCCGAGGGCCAGAGCCCGGGAGCCACTCCAGGCCACGCGGCTGGGCTGACCCTTGCGGCTGGTGCCTGGGGAGCCGCGAAGCCGGCCAGGGCTCTTCCCTCCTGCATCACTGTTGCCGGCCGGGCTCTGCGGTCCAGCAGTCCCAGGGCTTCGCTGGGCAGGCGCGGCCAGAGGAAGCACTGACCAGCCCAGGCGGCGCTCACACCGGCTGCGGAAGCCGCTGGCTGTCCTTCCTCAGGGACGGGGGGCACTGTGCTCCCTCCCAGGTCAAAGGGGGCCACCGCCCCGGGCACCTCGTCTGCCCCAAGAGCCTCCTGTGGGCCCAGCCCTCCCTGCCCTTGGGGGTGGCAACGGGGACCCCTGACCTCTCAGCAGACAAGTCAGACCTGCGGCCGGGCCTGGCCGCCCCCCGCCTCTCGCGGCCCCGCTCACCATGTTCCGGGGGTTGGACATGAGGAAGTGCTGGGCGACGTGGGCCGGCAGGAGGTTGAAGAGGATCCTCCTGTTGTCCAGCTTCACCTTCTCCATGTCGTCCCTCTCCTCCTCCGCCTGCGGGGGGGACCCGCTCAGCCCGTGGCCATGCCCCCAACCAGGGCCTGGAGGGGGCTGGACACCGCCTCCCCCTCCTCGGGGAGGACACCTGGGCCTCCCCAGGACACCGTCGCCCGGGCGCTGAGGCCAGCAGAGCCGCGGGGCCGGGCGGGGCAGGCCCAGGGGCGGGGTCTGGGCCGGGCGGCTCCCTGCAGCAGGGCTGACCGGGGGCACGCAGCCGCGCCCCAGCTGGCAGCCCTGAGCACCTGGGCCGAGGGACTAAGGCAGAGACCAAAGCAGCCAACGGCGGTGGCCCCAACCATTGGCCACCGTGGGGGCCCCAAGGACGCTGCTGGCTAAGTGACCACGGCAGCCAGACATGGGCTCCAGCCCTCAGCGACGGAAGCCACCAGGACCCTGGGGCCGCTCCCGGCTTCCCCACCTGGTGCAGAGCCTGGCCCGCGAACGCAGCTCAGGTCAGAGATGTGCCAGGCGGCGGCGCAGCGGGGGGCACCGCCCTCCTAAACCTCGTAACAGTTGCGCATGGTGTCGCGGAGCGAGGGCCTGACCGTGAGAAGCTGAGGCTGGAAGGCCACGTGCTGCGGCCGCTGTCCCCTGACCAGGAGGCACGCTCCCGTTTCTCCTGCGTACAGTGGCTCTAAAGTGCCCGCTTCCAACGGCGCCGCTCCTGCTCATCGAGGGGGCGGAGGGCGCGTGCCCCCCAGGGAGGCTGCAGAGTCCTGCTGGTGGTGCCGTCGTCCTAACAGCTGAGCTTGTTGGCCACCTGCCGCCACGTTTCACGCAGACATTCCGCCATCAACAGTGAGAGGCGATGCTTCCCAGCAGTAGCACAGCGTGGAGAGGCCTCAGGCCACGAGCCTTCAGCCTCCGGGGTCCGCGAGGCCAGGATGAGCGGCAGCCAGGCCCCCGGGCCTCCTTCCGGCTGTTTTCCAAGGAGGCAGCCGTGTGAGGCCCCCAAGAGCCATGGGTGGTCTGGAAGCTGACAGCATGGCAGGTCTCCTCCTGGTCCTTAGAGCAGGTAGACAGGCAGCAGGCGAGGAGATGCGGAGGGAGCCACAAGATCCAGCTCAGGGGATCCAGCGTGGAGAGGAAAGGCTCAAACCTGTCCAAAGACACCCACAACTCACCGCGCACTGACACGGGCGCGCTGGCACACGGGACGGAGTGTCTTGAAGGACGGCGGGAAGAGGAAGTAAATGACATTTTAAAAATAGTGCTTTGTTTTATTTACTAGTGGCACAAAAAATTTTGCTCTAAAACATGACGATTAATGTTAGTGATATTTTCAGTGAAATCAGTGCAGTTGAATGTGCTTCAACTTTTTTAAAAAAAGATTTTATTTATTTCTAGAGAGAGGAGAAGGGAGGAAGAAAGAGAGGGAGAGAAACATCCGTATGTGGTTGCCTCTTGTGCGCCCCCTGCTGGGGACCTGGCCCGCAACCCAGGTGTGAGCCCTGACCGGGCATTGAACGCACGACCCTTTGGTTGGCAGGCCGGCGCTCAGCCCACGGAGCCACCCCAGCCTGCGCTGCATGGCCTTCAACCTTTTAAAGAGAACCTCGGCCCGTCGCTTTGCAGTGAGACGCTTGGGTTCTAGGTTCAGCTTGTTCGAACTTATCTATAATCTACTTGAGAGCTGCGAGCGATCAGACTACCTGTCTTCCTCAATCAGCACCCGTTTTTCAATCCGCCCACAGAGGCAAGGGTTCCCGCTGCCGCCTGGGAAGTGCCCGTCTTCTTGGTAGCCAACGAAGGGCAGAGGCTGGGCCGCCCCCTCTTCCCTGCGGTTTCCGTGACCCGCAGTCGCCACCATCGGAAACATCCACGGAAAACCACAAACTCGCGCCAGCCACTGAAGCCGAGCACCGTTCCGAGGAGTGTGGTCGAATCCCTCGCTGTGCCCCTGCGTCCGCCCGGACGGGGCTCGTCCCTCCGTCCAGCATCCCCGCGCCGTGGGCGGTGCTGCGCGTTAACGACTCAGCAGCCGTCTCGGTGTCAGGCCGACGGTGACAGCGCCACCGCGCTCCTGTCCAGGTCGCCCAGAGGGCACTTCCCGACGCCCCCAAGTGCCGGGCGGTGAGGCTGGCTCTCCGAGGGGCCGGCGCGGAGCCGGGAAGTGCGCCCTTGGCAGAGGGAGCCCGTGGGGGAAAGCCGGGCTGCGTGTGTGCGGCGTGGGTTCCTCCCCACGCGGAGCCCGGGAGGGCAGAGAGGGCGGAGGGCGCAGGGGCGTTGGGGCTTCACCCAACTCCAGGGCAGGGGCTCTCGTTCACACGGAAGTTGTTTCGTTATCATCCAGGTCAGAGCCGCCACCGCCGCCATGATGTCCTGAGTCTGCAGAAAAGCTCGCGCTGGAGCAAGAGCGGCCTGTCCGGCGGCGGCAGGTCGGGCTGAGGACGTCGGGGGCAGCCGGTCTGCCGACACGGGTTCCGTAAAGGGCCGCCGCGCCCCCGCCTGGTCCCCGCAGGGCGCTGAGGGCCCTGGCTCCGCGCGCGTGTGAGCGTCCCAGGCAAACACGCCCAGCCCAGAACGCCCTGTGTCACTGGGTTCACGGTAAAGTGAGGGGCGCCTGCTGCCCTGGCTGCCCGTGTCCGTGCGTCCCCGTGGAGCCCCCAGACCCATGAAGGGGCTCCCCGCGCTGAACCCCTGGAAGGCTCGCTCACCGAGCCGAGGCCCCTGTGGAGACGGGTGTCGCTGGGGGACCCAGCACAGGGTCAAGCGCCTCTCATGTGTAGTGACATTTAAAGGGGCACCGACACCAGGAATAGCCCTTCCCGACCGGGACAGGAGGCGCCTGCCCACGGGAGTCCCGGCCGGAGGAGCCACGGGCCGGGGCCCCGTCCCTTCCGGCTCCGCACGCCGCCCCGGGCAGCGGCCCTGGTCCGCCCGGCGCCCCCTGCCCCGCCCACCCTTTCCCAGCTCTGAGGAGCTGTTCACGACTAAAGATCGGAAACCGGAGGGGCCGGCTGGAGGCAAAGGGGACGCGCCTCGGGGACCGGCCGGGGCCCGACCGGACCACGCCCGGCGCACAGCCGCCAGGGAGAGCTGTCCGCCGGCACCCGGCGTGGCTTCAGCAAGCTGCCCAGGCCAGGCCTCCTGTCCAGGACCCCGTGTGAGGGCCGGCGTCAGCCTCACTCCGAGGAGCTGGCCCGCGGGCCCCCCGCCCCCGGCCCCCGCGGGGCACAGCCCGTGGGAGCCAGCAGGAGCGGGCAGCGAGGGAGGAGGGCGGGCGGGGCCCCTCCTGCCCCAATCGCTGTGTGTGGCCGTGTCCTGTGGCTGAGGGTTGCGAATTCGGTCTGGCGGCCCGCCCTGTCCCAGGTTCCGGGATCCGTCCCCCGCTCCCAGTCTACCCTGGGAAGGCAGCCCGCCCTGGGCATCCCTGTCCCTGGGCCCCGCCCACCGGCGCCCAGGTGAGGCGCGAAGACCGGGCTGGGCCACAGGCCCTTTGGAATCAGCAGTCTCCCCCCATCCCAGCTCAGAGCTCCTGGCCCACACAGGGCGAGTATGCTGAGCACAGGTGCTCGGTGTCCGGGCGGAGGGACCGATGGAACAGCCCAACCCTCAGGTGCAGAAAGTAGACGAGAGGTCGCTGGGATGCGTGTGGGGACGGGGAACTCACTGCTCACCGAACCACCGAACTCGGACCCTCGGACGGGGCGCACCCCGCTGTCCCCGCCTCCAGCCCTGCTCCGTCACCTCCCCCAGCCCTGTCCCACCGCTCATGCCAGATGCCGCTGCCCTCACGGCTGTCCATCCAGGACCCCGCACCTGCGCCCACCCCCACGGGGCTCCCCTGCCACCCCCAGAGCCGGGGCGCGGCTTGCCTGCGCGGCCCAGAGGTAGTCCAGCCGCAGCTTGACGTCCACCTGCCGGGCGTGCAGGGCCAGCGTGCACGAGAACAGCAGGGTCGCCATGATCGGCTCGAAGCTGCGTGCAGAGCCGGCGCCGCCCCTGGGGAAGACGAGAGGGACACCGGTCGGTGCTGAGGCCTTGTCATCGGACGCACGCCGCGTCCGGGGAGCGCCCCCCGCACGGGACACCCGCGCCGACACCTGGGACTGACCCGAGCCGAGCCGGGCATCCCCGGAACCAGGGGCCCTCCCCAGCCCGGGGCTGCAGGGCAGAAGCCCCCGCGCCAGAGGCTCCCCCAGCCAGGCCACCAGAGCACGTGGCCCCGGGCCGGGTGTCACGACGCCGCGCTGGCCTGTCCGGCGGGGGCGGCGCACTTACCCCGCAGCCTTGGTGTACCCGCTGAGCTCCAGCACCAGGATGTAGGACGTGCTGAGCGCGGCCAGCAGGGCCAGCTTGGGCAGCGAGGAGACCCGCAGGAAGGCGGCCAGCGGGAGCGAGCCCACGAGGCCGCAGAGCAGGGCGTGGGGCGCGGCCTCGCAGGGTGGCACGGGCAGCGCCGGGGCCCGGCCCCCGGGGGACAGGACCACGAGGGACCCGTTGGGGCTGGGGCTCCAGGCCCAGGGCAGGCAGCCCACCTGGAGGAGCGGAGGGCAAGAGGCAGGGGAAGGGCTCACCCAAGGGCTCGGACCGCCCCGCCTCCCCGCGCCCACGGCGCCCCGTCCCTTCCCGCCCCCTTGCCGAGGGCCGACGGCCGCCCCCGCCCTGCCCCCCTGTCCCCCCCGCCCCGCCTGCTGCCCTCTGTCCACTGCAGGAGGGGAGGCCTCCCTTCACCAGGAGGGGCTGCATTTTTCCGCTGGATGAAGTGCCCCCTGCGCTGGCTCCCTGGGCACCCCCGGGCCTGTCTGGTCCCCCCGACCCGCCTGCCCCTCTGCCCGGCCCCCCCGCCGCCCACAGGGCCACTCACCCCCGCACGTCCCCGCTCCCCGCGCCCAGACCACAGGGAGCCCGAGGCGCTCACCACGCAGCCCTGGGCCACGGAGTAGACCAAGACCACTATGCAGACGCACAGCGCGGTGCGGATCCGGATGGTCAGGTAGCCTGGGAGACACTGACAACGCAGCACCGATTCAGAAACGCCCGCGTCCGGAAGCGTTCGCCCCCACAGAAAGGAACCCGCAAGGCGGACGGCGCGGTGGCCTCGGTCCGGCCGGGCCTCGGCCGCTACTCCCCCTCCGCCCGCTTCCCGGCCGTTCCCTTATATTTACTCTCCCAGGTGAAAAGCTTGCAGGGAAACCTGGCGTCTTTACATTAAAAACATCGAGGCCTCCCCACCCCCGGCACTGTGACGTTGGCACTGAAATCAACTGACTAGACTAAGCTGACGTGGTCATACTGCTGAGTCCTTCTGTCTCCTGACGGTGAGAACGTTCACTTACTGGTGTCTTCATGTGAAAGGAAACTTTATCGTTTTCTTCAGGCAGGTTTTGTGTAATTTTTGTAAGTTATTTGACGTTTTATTTTAAATCTACCTGTTCAAATACAGGGTCCGGCACAAATAACACCCCCTTTTTTATTACAAAATCATAAGCATGTGATTCTGTAACATAACAATGTCACACGCAAGCAGACCCTACGACATCTCAGGTGAGGGGTTCGGATTAGAACCATCAATCATTGCACCCACGTTATTACCCCTCCGGCCACACTCAAGCCGGCCTTCCTCCTGCCGGCCCGGCACGCTTTGCCGTATTCAACAGTTTCCTGGATAAAAGTCGGGAATTTTTTTTCAGACTCACGCTCTTGAAATTAGAAATAAAAGTGAACGCAAAGGCCGCACCGTGGACAGGCAGCCCACGGTGCCCCTGCTTCTTCTCGGCCGTGTGGGGCTGAGGCCCGGGGAGCCCAGGGCGGGGCCCGCCCCCCCCCGTCAGGGCCACCGGGGGGGGAGCCATGAAAACAGGGCGCTGGACGGCCACTGTGGACACCAGATCCGGCTGCGGCAAAGCGCCTGGTCCACGGGGCACACCGGCGGCCACCGGGCCACGTTGCACTCACGTCCCCGGAGCCAGCGAGCACGGTGGGCCCACCCGCCGGGCCTCTGCTGGGGGGAGCGGCCCCGCCCTGCCCAGCCTGACCCTGCCGTCCGCCCCGCCCCGCAGCCTGCCACGCGAGCCCCGGGCAAGCTCACGAGAAGGCAGGCCTGACTCTGCCTAGGACAACACTCACGCCCACGAGGGGCGAGGGGGAGCGGACAGTCAGAAAGAGAGGGGCGGACGCGCCGGGTCCCGGCCGGAGAGCCGTGCACCTGGCGGGCACACAGGCCCACACGGGGCGGGCGCGCAGGCGTCGGCAACCAGCACCCACGTGGGGTGCTGTCGCCCGAAATTGCGTCATTAGTGCGATCTTATCTGACGCGGGCCATTTCGCTTTATCAAGCCCAAAGTTGCTCCACCTGTGAAAGTCAAACGAGCTCGAAGGTGGTTTGAATAAATAGTATTTTTTTTATTTAAAAAAGGCAAGAAGTTACTTAGGAATAGAGAAGTTCAATGAATAAAACTAGATTTAATTTTTCAATTAAATTCAATCTGGGTCTACACACCTATGAAAAACAGCCCTGGCTGCTGTGGCTCAGGGGACTGAGCACCGGCCGGCGATCCACAGGGTCGCCGGCTGGACTCCCAGGCAGGGCACAGGCCAGGGTTGCAGCCAGGTCCCCAGCAGGGGGCGCACGCGAGGCAACCACACACGGATGTCTCTCCCCCTCTTTTTCTCCCCTCCTCCCCTCTCTCTAAAAATAAATAAATAAATTTTCTTTAAAAACAGCCCTGGGTCTGCTGGGCAGGATGGGGACAGCGAAAGTGAAGTCTGGAGGGGCGGGGACGGGGACAGAGACCCCTCCCAGGGCCACCAGAGGCCCGGGGCTAAGACGCCAGCCTTGGCTCCAAAGTGGATGCCAGCAAAGCCGTGGGGGACTCGCAGTCTATGACGCCAACGCATGACAGACCAGCGCTCGAGCCCCTGTCCCCAAGGGCCTCTCCATCCCGGGAGAACGTGGAACCTCGTGCTCATTTAGTCGGTCGTCTCCATCGGCCACCCGCCCCCTGTGCCTCAGCCCCTGAGCAGCGCCCAGCACACGTCGGGGCTGAATGAGCTCCCGCCCCTCGGACAGCGTGCTCTGCCTGCCGGAGGGCAACGGGAGCACCGGCGCCCACCGGGAGACCCCAAGTTGCCTGTCCGGGGGAGGCGCCGCCCAGGACACACGTACACACATACCTGGACCCGGGTGATATGCAGGTATAGGACACAGGCCACCAGGAAGCAGATGCAAAACACTAGCAGCAGCAGGACAGCCAAATTCCTAGGACAGAGGACAGGTGGTCCCTGTGGGCTGGGCCGGAGAGGCGCCTGGGAACCTGCCCCCCCCGGAGGCCCCGCCCCCAGGAAGAAGCAGCTGTCTCGGGCACTTGTGCAGGCTGGTTCCCTTCCAGGACAGCGACCCCCAAGCGTTTGCGAGGAAGGTGCAGCTGCGCAGATGTGGCTGCGGCGCGGCCTGGGCTCCGTGTGTGCGGTGGGCTCGCAGCGTGGGTGGGGGGCAGGGGGCGGTGCGCGCGAGCCCTCCCTGGACACTCAGAGGACAGAGGAGGACTTCTCCACTCCAGAGGCTGCCTTAGGAAAGCGCGGTGTGTAAACAGAAGCGGAGGCTTCCTGGGCCCTCCTCGCTGTGGCGCAGGACGCCTGTACGTTCTTAGAAACCACCAGACTTTTCTTCCTCTTCAGAGGCCACTCTTTCTCTCTCTACTGTTTCTGAAAATGTCCCGCGCCCAGAAGCCACGGCGCCCGCGGCTGCCCCGCGCGCTTTATCCCTCAGAAGCCGAGGCAATGGGGTCCGCGTGGGGAGGGGGCCACGGAAACGGGCGGGGGAGCTGCGTGCCGGAGCTGCGAGCCCTCAACGCACCTGAGCCGGCCCAGCCCCCGGCCCCTGGAAGGCCGGGGCGCGGCGGGTGCTGCCGTGCCTGCAGGGGCTCGGGGGCCCCCCAGACACAGAGAGACAGGTGCCCGCGCCCGCCCCACCGACGCGGCGGGCGCACTCACTGCGGGATGACCAGAAGGTGGATGAGGCCGAGGAGGGCGGCCAGCACGAGGGCGAGGACCACGGCGCCGGTGAAGGACTCGTCCTGCAGCTGGTGGTACTGTGGACGGACGGGCCCGCGTGAGCGCGGCCGCCCCTGCGGCTCGCGGGCCGGGCACAGCTGGGCCGCCGCTGCGGCAGGCAACGCGGCCCCCGCGCAGGGGCCCGGGGGAGGGCGTGCGGCGCCGCCGCCTCCCCGGCCCCGGGACCGCGGCCCCCACCTTGCGCTCCCGCTCGGCCTGCTTGTACTTGAGGGTGAGGAAGTCCAGGTCGGCCATCTCCAGCTCCGTCTGGCGGGCTTCCAGGAGGCGGCCGAGGTATCTGTTGACGCGGGTGCCCGGGGTGGCGCACACAGCGTTGGTGGAGAAGGACAGGCGGTTTCGGAGCTTTTCCGAGGCTGTTCTCAAGGCTCTGCGCTGCGGCCGCCAGGGAGAGAAAGGGCTGCTGTCGCGTGGCCGCTCGGAAGGAGGTGCTCTCCGCCGGCCCGCCCGCCCCGCGCCCCCCGTGCCGGCCGGCCCCCTGCGCACAGCAGCCCGCGGCTGCGTTTGGGGCCTGAGACGCAGTCGCGGCTCCGCTTCCACCAGGCGAGGGGGTGCCCCAGCTGAGTTACTCTGCTGCCGGTGACGGGGTTCCTGCGTCCGTAAGTGGGGTGACATGGCGACGCCATGGCAGCCCCGTGAGGACGGGACCCCCCGCAGGTACGGGGGGGACAGCGCCCAGCCCCGGGCAAAGTAAACATGAGTGGAATTGACGACTGTCCAGCAGGTGTGAGGAAGACAAGACACCGACGAGCTGAGGAGGGAAAGGCCGTCTCGGACCCCGCGGACGTGAAGAGCGTCGCGGGGCACCCGCGAGCTGCGCTGCAGGCCGACAGGCACCACGGCCGCCCAGCGTGACCGGCCGTCGGGGGAGCCCGCTAATTCCGAAAGAAAGGGAGGCCATGCATGTGAACGCCGGGAAAAGCAGCCTCCAGGCCCAGAGGGCTCCCCTGCAGGTTCCACCGAACAAACGTTCGAAGGAGAAGGAACGCCCGCCGCGCAGGAACGATCCCCAGGTCACTCCATAGCGCCCATGTGGACCCGACACCACAGCACGAAGAGACAACTAGAGGCCGCAGGCCTCATGCATGTACAGGCACAACTTCTTAACAGAATGGCAGCGCCCGGAGCCCGGCCGTCGGCAGCGGGAGACCACGGCGCGCCCGCTCCTGGCCGCGCGGGCCATTCAGGCAGGTCAGCATCGGGGCCGCGCCCCGCCCCCCCGCCCCCCGACTGACAGGCTGAAGGAGGAAGCCCCACCCTGACGCGGTGGCGCAGAGAGGGCCTCTGACGAGAGCCAACACCGTGTGCCACTGACCTGCTCAGGGAACCGGACAGGGAGGGCCCCCGCCCACCTGGAGGAGGACACCTGGCGCTGCCACTACCAGCGCGGCCCGAGGCGCAGGTCTCCCGCCCCCCCCGCTCTGGTGCTAGGACCCCCGGCCACATCGCTCCCCTCCCCTGGCCCAGCCCTGCGGGTCGCGTTGAGTCCGAGTCGGTGTTTCCGCCCGGGCAGTGGAGCAAACGAGGGGCCTGGAAAACCTCCCGTTACCAACGCTGGGTAAACACAGTACCGCACAGACACGCATGACAAGGCACATCTGAGCCAACCGGGCAGAGAGGCAACAGACCGGGGCCCAGCAGCGCCGGGAAGGCGGGAGTGTGGGCGGGGGGTGGGGAGGGGTGGCAGCTCACGGGCGCCCCGGGGCCTGCGGGGCGAGAGCCAGCGTTTCTGTGGCCCAGGCCGCCAGCTGGGGCTGGAGCACAGGGGGCAGTGGCGGCCACGCCCCCCGAGCCCCAGGTCCCGGGGGCTCCACGGGCAAACACCACCCCGGAGGCCGCACAGGCCTGCCCAGGCCCGGCGGCCACCAAGGGGCCCCTGGCAACACGCCTGCACACGCAGGTCCTCGTGGCGCGTCCAGCAACCGCAAGCCGGGCGCCTAGTGTGAGCCCCGGGGCCGGCAGAGGGGAGGCCAGCCGCTGACTGGCTGCCACCGCAGAGCGCGAAAGGGATCAAGTTCCCACTAACGAACGCGGGCTCGCAGCCAAAGCCGCCACCATCCCCCGAGGCGACGAGCCGCCTCGGGGGAGTCTGCAGACGCTGGCTTCTTCCTGAAAAGCCTGTGATCCTCGGCAGTGAGATTCCCCTCAAAGGCAGAGCCCGCAGAGGCGGGCACAGGGCAGGCGGGGCCGCGGTCCCAGGAGGCGGGCGTGTCTGTGGTGGCACAGGAGGCCCACAGGGGTGTGTGCTCCCGGGACGGATGGGCCGGGCAGCGGCAGGGGCTGGGGCGGGGGCCCAGGCGCTGCGGGCAGGACACTCGCAGCTGCTCCCCCGGGGGCGGGGGCCCACGCTCAGGCCGTCCCGCCTCGGGGCCCCCCGCTCCCCTGGAGGGGACCGCGGCCTCTGGCCAGAATCACAGACACAAGGTGCGTGTGCCTGGAGCGGATGCTCGGGATCCCCCACAGGCGCCCCCGCTTAGCTCCCAGCTCTCCCCCAGGACCCTGCCCCCGACCCCACACAGACCAGCAGATCCGAAGGGGACTCTGAACAGCCCCAGAACCGAGGATCCTGCAGCCGGGCCGCCACGCCGGCCGCCCACGGAGCGGGCCTCAGCCAGCACCGGGGACTGCGTCCCATCAGCCAGGCAGGAGCCCACGTGGGAGGGGACGGCCCGAGCCACGTCCCCCGTTATCCCCCCTGAGAAGGACAGCCCTGACAGAGGACCGAGAGCAGGGACAAGAGGACGGAGTGAGTGAGACACCAGACGCACAAACGTCCCAGGGCAGGTGCAGACAGTGGCGTGGACCTTAGCGGGAGTCCACCAATAAACGCGTGGAACGTCAGGGAGCGAAAGCGCGCAGGCTGACCCAGGGAGGCCGGGGGGCGCACCCCGGACCGGGCCCCAGGCTGCAGACGGCGCGGGGCGGGGCCCTACCTTGTCGTCGTCCTCGCACGTCATGACGTTGGAGAAGGGGATCTCCGCCTTGAACATCTTGCGGCACTGCATGAGCTGCACCAGCAGGTAGCACACCGTCTTGAACTTCATCCTCTTCGCCGGCTTTATGTCCGAGAGGATCAGCCCTGGAAATATCTGTGCGGATGCGGCCGCGAGGCCGTGAGCTGCCAGGGCGGGCGCCTGCCCCTCGCCTGAGCCCTGGCAGAGGCCAGGTCACCCTCCGTCCCGCCCACCTCGCTCCCCTGGGCACGGAGGCCCTGAGTGCCCCCCGTGAGGTGGCCGCCGCCCTGCCGTGCACACGGCGCCCTCGGTCCACAGTTCCAGCCCCCCTCCCCGGGCCTGGCCGCGGCGGGGAGGGCGCCTCACACCTGTTTCGTGAGAGAGGCAGTGAAGGCCCAGAGAGCGTGCAGGACGGCCTGGCCCCCGAAGTCCCCGGGCCGGAGATGACCCGGGGCGCCGGCCCCTCCCCCGCAACGCAGGCCCAGGCCAGGCCCAGGGCAGGACGCGGGGGGCGCGCCCACCTTCCGCCGGTGCGAGGGCACGATGAAGAAGGTCTCGATGTTGTGCGCCCTCAGGAAGCTGTTCCTCTCCTGCCCGTGGCCCGGCTCCACCTCGTAGTCGCCGTTCAGGCAGGCCAGGGTCGCCTGCGTGATGTGGACCTTCCTGCGGAAGCAGGCGGCGGGTCGCGACGGGCCCTCCCCGGGGCCCGGGGCCGAGGTCCCGCGGGAGGCGGACGGGAGTCCCCCGGCCGTCGGCCGTCGCAGCTGCACGAGGGACTCTGGGGACAGGGGGCGGCTGTGGCGGGAGGATCGGAGGCACCGAGCAGAGAGGAGGCGAGGGCCTCCGGCCTGCAGCGGGGCGGTGGGGAAGGAGTGGCAGGGGGGTGACAGACACAAGCCTGTCCCCAAGACCCCGGGCCAGGAGGGCCCGGCCCCGCCCCCGGGGCGGGGGGGGGCGGGGAGGTGGGCAGGCAGCGAGGGGCAGGGCCCGAGGGGGCGGCAGGGGTTCTCCCCAAGTCCCCACGACGTGGGTGTGCGGGCGTCCAAAGCTCCCTGTCGCCCAGGACGCCACGGCCGGTGCCTGCGGCGCGTCCCGGCCGCCCTCCCGCCCTGTTCTCAGCGGTTTAACGGAGCCTCAAGCCTTGGCTGGGTGCGCGGTTTGAAGAGCAGAGGCCAAAGCCGGGGCTGCGAGTAGGGAGCGTGGCGCGCAGGGACCCAGAGGGAGCTCGGGCCCCAGCACCCGCCCCAGGGAGGGAGGGAGCCGGCCGCCGCGGGCAGCCGGCAGCCGGGGGTCCGGCTTCCCAGCCCTGCCACCCCCCGCCCCGGGGCCGTGACCCACCCGGGCAGGCCCGCGGCCTCCATGACGTTGGCCAGGGTCACGTCGTTGGACCACACGTCGTACTGCCACTTGCGCAGGCCCAGGACGCCGCAGAGGACCCTGCCGGTGTGCAGCCCCACGCGCATGTTCAGGTTCACCTCGGTGGCCTCGGCCACGGACCTGCAACGCAGACCCGGGGCGTGGGCTGCAGCCGGCCCTCCGCTGCCCCGGGGCCGAGCGCGGGCCCGCGCAGGCAGCAGCACGTGCTCCCCAGCCCGGTCAGCCACGCCCAAGCGGCGGCTCGGGCCACCGGCGTCACGCCCGCCCGCCCGCCCGCCCGGGGCCGCCCCAGAGAGGGAACGGCCAGTGCAGCGGCCGTGGGGACACCCGGCAGCCTCATGGCCCAGCAGCTCCGGGGACGGGCGGGGCGCGACGCCAAGCCCCGTGACTTGGGTGTGGGCTGCAGAACGGGCCGTGGGGAGGCCCAGGCCCCGCGTGAGAAGCCAGGCGCGGGGACGGCAGACAGGCCTCCCCTAACTGGACAGCAGGTCTGACTCCTGGTCCCCGTCACGGACCAGGGCCAGGGCCAGACAAGGGGGACAGACACAGCGCTCCAGCAACACTCTGCCCGGAGCAGCCCTGGGCCCGGTCCCCGCCCCAGCAAGACCAGCACGCGGGCCCTGCGGCATCGGAGCCGCCTTCCCCGGCGGCCCCCGCCGTCCACCCAGCTCCCCTACAGGGACAGCCCACCCCCGGGCGACCAGGGACGCACGACCGCAGTGTTCGAAGGGGGGCTGCGGAGACCCCTCAGGCCAGCGGGGACCTCCTCCACGCGGCCCCTCGCCCTGAGGGTGGCTCTGCAGCCACGGCTCCGGGGACCCAGGACCAACGGGCAGCTCAGGCCTGCCGGGGGCGGGGGCTTCCGGGCAGGACGGCGGGCGCCGGCCGGGCGGCGAGGGCACTCACGTGATGGTGTCGATCATGTCCAGACCCATCTCCACACAGCAGTGGGCGTGGTCGGCCTTGGGCTGCGTGAGGCCGCACACGCAGTAGTAGCAGTCCCCCAGGATCTTGATGCGCCGGCAGTGGTTCTCCTGCGGGCGGCGGCACATCAGCCGCGGTTCCCCGGGCCGGCCCCGGCACCCCCCGAGGGGGACAGGCCACGGGCAGGCGGCCTCGGGAGTGGGCAGCCCCCGCGGCGGGGCCCCCCATCTGCCGCCCTCAGGCGCCCCGCCGTGGGGGCCCACGCCGGGAGCCAGCCCCGCCCCCGAGCCGGGACTCTCTGCCCCAAGAGGGGCCGGCACATGTGCCCCTTGACCAGCAGTGAGGACCGCCATGCGACGCTTCCGGAACACGCTAGATCCGCCCACCCACCTGGGAAGGCAGGCCACACGCACCTGCACGTCCCTCGAGCTACCAGCCCACGTCCAAGTCCACAGCTCTCCCTACGGGTTCGCCTGCTGGGCCGGAGCCCCGACCTCGCTGTCCCCCGCCAGGGACGCCGCTCAAGGGCCACTCTCGCGTTTTTGCAACAGTAAGAATCTCAGGACCCCGCTGGCCACCAGGTCGGGGGTGCCAAGAGGGATGTCAGAGTCCTGCCGCCCGCCGTCCCGCAGGCTCGGCCTTGGTTGGGGCCGGGGCGGGAGGCTTATTCCAGGAAAGCCCTCGCACGGCCGTGTCCCTGCACCCTCTTCGGGCGCCTGGCAGCTTGGGCGCTCCCGCCAGGGCCACCGCTGGGCCCCCCCGCCCCGCCAGCAGCCGCTGCTGGGAGAGCCGTCAAAGCGTCGCCGCGCATTCCAAGACAACAGCAGCCAACGCGCTGCACGTTAACGAAAGTAGCACTTGGATGAAAAATGATGACATTCCTCGAAACAGCCGCGGGTGAGCAGCGTGGCCACGGTCACTGTCCTCTGCGACCTGTCTACCGCCCACCACGTGGGCTCCTGCTCTGCGCGCCGGCCACGGAGCCTGAGGTGGCCTCGCAGAGCCCCAGCTCCGCGCCCGGTTCTGAGAACGCACCCGCGTCCACTGCTGAGCCCCACGCTCCGCGTGCACCCGAACGCGCTGACGCCGGGGTGTCCTCGGACCGGCCAGTTGCCGCCAGTGCGTGGGGGTGAGCGTCCGGCTCCGGCTCCCGCGAGCTCGCATGCGCCCTCAATTCCATGACGCTCTGCGGGGCGCACAGCGGGAGGAAGCCAAGGCCGGGACCCGCGCTGCTCTCCAGAGGGATGGCCCAGGCCACCGCCTGACACCTGCTCCTCCCAGCCCCAGGCCTCTCTCGGCACCAGGACGCTGGGGACATGCAGACGGGGGCAGGGGGGGCACAGAGCAGATGTTCTGCCCGACAGGTGGGGCCTCGGGAGGCCCAGCCCCCGGGTCTGCTTCCTCCTGAGCCCCGGAAGCCGCCCCCGGTGTGGGGAGCTGGCTGCTGGGGCCCAGCCGCCTGTGACCACAGGCGTGCGGCACTGGCTCTCCTTCTGGACGGGCCCCGGGACGGGCCGTGCGGGGGTCAGGCGGCCAGAGCCAGGTGGCCAGGGCAGCTGCCCGCCCTGCGGAGCCGGGGCCGGGCCCCTACAGGCCATGAGTGCCCGAGCCCCCAGGCCAGCAGGCAGCACAGGCTCGCCCCGCGCCTCCCGGTGCCCGGCCCACCGTCCCCATCCTCGCTGTCGCTCTCGGGGGACGACCCCTCGGGCACTGCTCCCCGTCTTCCCGTGCGGGCTCCCGTCGCCAGGCCTGTGGGCCGGGGACCAGGAGCTGCCCGGGCCCCCCTCTGCTGTCTGCTTCTATTCCTCCCCAGGCTCCTGGCACCGGCTGGCTTCAGAAGCCAAAAACGTGCTTTTCACGGGCTTCGATGTTTTAGTTCAAAACCCGCCCTGTAAACACTGGACTCGGTGCCTGGGGGTCCCTGTGGGCAGCGTCCGTGTTGCCTGAACAGCTGCTTCCCAGACAAAGCAAAGAAAGGAGGGACGAGGCCGTGGGGGTGGGGGGGACACAGAGGAGGGGCAGGAGGTGACAGACGCCAGCCAGGCGGCGGGAGGACGGGGCGGGAGCGTTGGGGGGGCCTCTGCTCTGCCGCTCAGGTGGGCTCTGCAGGCTCCAGGGCAGCTCAGGCGCCCACCCCTCCGCGCGAGAGCCCCCCACCCCTGCCCCAGGCCCAGGAGGAAGACACGCCCAGTCCCGGGCCTGGAGGTGCCTCAGCCCCTTCCCAGGCCGCCTCTGAAGCCGCGGGTGGGGCCCAGCGGCCCACGCGCCACGTGGGCGGAGCTCCCTCCGGGAAGGCAGTCGGCTCCGGGGCCTGGGGCGCCTGGGGGGCTGGGCAGGTGCCGGGCTGGGGCTGGAACTGACCCGCTTCGGGCCTGGCTGCTGAGGAGGCCGTTCACTGGCAGCCGGGGTGGGGTGTCTACCAGCGACCCCCACACCCGCGACAGGCACTGAGGCCTCCGAACGGCTCCCCGCCTCCCAGTGGGCGCCTGCGTCCTGCCCGGGGAGGGGCCGTTACAGACGCGCGGGCGCCCCGTGGGGGCGCGGGGCGGGGCCAACAGCAGCGCGACGGCCGCGCGAGGTGTCAGGCGGGCACGGGGCTTCCGGGGGCCCCTGCACGTGGCGCCCGCGCGTCTGGCCGCTGTGCTGTGCCCCGGGACCGGCACAACACCGGGTGCCGGCAGTGACGTTCCAGGAAACGCCCCTGCTCCCGCCCTCCCGCCGCCTGCCCAGGGACGAGCGTGCGGGGTCCCAGGCACGTCACCGGCGCCGACAGCCACGCCGGGGCTGAGGACGTGCAACACAGACGAGTTCTCGCTGGCGACAGCCCCTGAAGGGCGGGGTCGTGCCCAAAGGTAGGGGGACGTTGCCTGTAACCCTGAGGGGCGGGGCGGGGGCAGGTGGCCTCCTGACCGAGGCCAAGCCGGGGCTCGGCTCGTCCCCGCGGCCGGCACACGGAGAACGCGCCTCGCCACTCCACGGCCTCCGGGAACCGGCCAGACAGACATCTGCTTTGTCCAGCTCGGTCACTTCCCCGCGAAGGACACCGGCGCCCAGGCAGCCCGACCCCCTCCCGGGCGGTGGAGCGACACTGAGCCCTGGCAGGTGTTGCCCCATCGGTTCAGGAGGATGTGACCGGCTTCCCGCACACGTGTGCAAACACAGATCTAAAAGGGAGCTGATAAGTGGGGGAAAGGGCAGAAATCTGTGCGCATCCGCAGCCACCGGCCACGGACGAGGGACAAACAAACCGCCGCCGCTCTGGAGACCAAGGCAAACACACGCCTGTTTGGCGAAGCGCCGCGGCGTCCGGGAGGAGCGTGGGTCAGCCCCACAGCTGTGTGTACTTTTCCAAGCCTGCACGCCAGGCGCTGTGAGGGGACACGGCCCACGTGCCCCTCCAACAGGACTCAGTGGTGCCTACAGCACCGGCCGGGCCCCAAGGAGCGAGGGAAAGCCGTCGGCATGGCAACGGGCACCTCGGTCTGGGGCTTCCTCGCAGTCACCTCAGCGAGGGAAGAGCCGAACGGAACTTCCACGCATAAATTTTAGAGGGTTCAACTCAAAAAAGTATGTTTTCTGGCCACAATAGAACTAAAGTCGAAGTGAAAAACCCAAAGGTCTTTGAAAAATCTCTCCAAAAATATACCTCTAAATAATCTATGGGCCTAAGGAAATTGAAAGGGAGATTAGGAAGTATTTTGAACTGAAGAAAAGTAAGAGCCCAGGGCGGAAGGAGGTCTGGGGATTCTCCTAACGCAGCCTGTCAGCAGAGGTTCGCAGGTGAGCGCGCTCGTCGGGGGGAGTCTCAAATGGCGGCCTCAGTGTCCACCTTGAGAAACTATAAAAGAAAAGCAACCTAAAACCAAAATAAGCAAAACAAACCAGACAGGAATTTATTAAAATAGAATAAATAGCAAAATCAATGAAACCAGAACTTTCTTTAAGAAAATCAATACAATTGGCCCCGGCTGGTGCGGCTCAGCAGACTGAGCACCGGCCTGCAAACCAAAGGGTCGCCGGTTCGATGCCCAGTCAGGGCGTAGGCCTGGGCTGTGGGCCAGGTCTCCAGTAGGGGGCGTGTGAGAGGCAACCACACACGGGCGTTTCTCTCGCCCTCTTCGAAAATCAATACAATTGACAAACCTGTACACAGGATGATCAGGAGGAAGTGGAAGACACAGGTCCCCAAAACCAAGAACACGAGCAATGGTGTTGTGCAGTGTCTGCAGGTCTCAGGGTGACAAGAAATACCAGGGAACAACTTTATTCTTACAACTTCAACCACCTAGACTAAGTGGACAAGTTCTCGGGAAAATAAAAAAGAACTGCCAAAGCTCATGCAGGGAAGAAGGAAAAAGGGTAACCTGACCAGCCCTGTTTAAAGAAATTGTATCTGTAGTTAGAAACTGTCACAAATAAAGCTCCGGGCCCAGGTGGCTTCACCCCCAAATCCTTACACACGGCGGGAAGGGACGACACCAGCTCTGCACAAGCTCTCCCCGGAAACGCAGCAGGAGGAAACGCCCCCAAGCTCCTCGCAGACACGGCACGGGTCGCCCTGGTCCCCACAGGCCGCACGAGAAAGCCACAGGCCGACAGCCTCCAGGAACATAAGTGGGAAACTTCTCAATAAAATCGAGCCAACCAAAGCCACCGGCCGGCGCCGTGACCACACCCACGTCCGCCCCGGGCCACAGGCCCGTGTGCCGCGCTGTGTCCGCAGGCTCCCAATGACGACCCACGTGCGCGTCCCCTGGACGCGGTCCAACACTGGACAAAGGCCAACATCCGTCCGACAGACACTCCACAGACCAAAAATATAAGGAAATGTCCCCAACTTGGGAAAAGCATCCCAGGCGCCGCAGCACTAACGTCACGCTTGCTGACGAAGACCGCCGCGCTCCCGCGAGCACCAGAGGGCAGCTCGGGCCCAGACCCCGGCGGGGGCGGTGCCGGCCACGGACCTCGGCCGCGCGCGGCCCGCGGGTGGGCGGCTGGGCCCACGGCCTCATCGCCTGGCTGGGCAGGTGCAGGCGCTCCCCCGTTTGTAGACCCCACACGCGGCCCCCAAAGCGAGTCAGCGAGCAGCGCGCCGGCGCCGCAGTGGTGGGGCCGCCGGCCCTCGCAGGACCCCAGACCCCGCCCCGGGGCCGGTGACAGACGGGGCCGCTCTTACCGTGGCCAGCTCGTCGAACTTGCCGAAGAGCTCGTTGAGCAGCTTGACCAGCTCCTGGGCCGTGCACTGTGACGCCAGGCTCGTGAAGCCCACGATGTCCGCGAAGAGGATGCTGCAAGGCACAGGGGCGCTGCCTGTCCGCCCGGCGCGCCCGCCTCGGGCGCGGGACGCCCCCCCCCCCCCGCCACCACCGACGGTCGCCCCTTGCGGGTCTCCTCGAAGCAAACCTCCCCGTGTGTCCCTGAGCCCAGGCTGGAGAGCAAGGCTCTCCTCTTCCCGTTTTACAGGTGAGAAGACCGAGGTCGGAAGACAGCGCGGGCTCCTGGTGGTCGCAGAGGCAGGAGGCGCTGTGGCCCCTCAGAGCCCCGCTGACCCCGGTCCCCTCGGCCCCGCCACTCGCAGCCGGGGACTCTTGCTGGACCTCAGTCTCCTCTCCTACAAAGTTGAGTGGCAATGCTGGCTGGTCGTGGGGCGGGCTTATGCTAAATGGAACTAGGTGTCCCGAGGAGACTCATCCTGCCTGGCGCGAACGCTGGCTCCGCCCCGGGGGCCTCCCCCTCCTGGTCTTCAGCGGCCCCCTCTCTGGAAGGACAGCTCTGGTCCTCCCCGAGAGGCACAGTGGTGGGACGGAGCTGGCCGGCCGGCAGAGAGCCGCGCGGGCCGCATGCGGGGCAGCCGGACCCTCGGGGAACAGGCGGCAGCTTGCGGGGCCTGGTCTGCAGCGCTGGGCAGAGACCCACAAGGTTCCCCGTCTGTCCGTGTCCGGGGCCCGGCCCACAGGGAGGCCCGGCACCCACGCCAGCCCCAGAGAGTCATCCCCTCGTGCCTGAGGGACGGGTAGGGACACTCAGCTGTTCTAAGTATTTGAAAAGGAAACGCACCCTTTTTAAGGAGCTTTAAAAACCAACAAGCAACCAGGAGAGGGCTGGGGCAAGCTGGCTCGCCTGCTCCTCACCTGTCACACGGGGACAACAAGCCCCGCCCACGGCCGCCAGGGACCAACGGACGGGAAGAGAGTACCCACCCCGGCCCGGCCGCACCTGCCACCCAGGGCCTGTCGCAGGGCACTGCCAGCCCACAGCCACGCGCACGCCCGGCGCAGCGGCAGAGCCGCCTCTCCCGGCAACACGGAAAGAGAGGTGCTGAGTAATGGGAAAAGCAGCTGTGGCAGGCGTCATCAGAGAAGCCACCGCTCCACCCCCGTGGGACCTGCTTCCCCGCCAGGCAGGCACTCACCTGGGCCTGCTGACCCCCACCTGCGCCTCCCTCGGCCCCTTCCCACCGCCCGCACCGCCCCCGCCGGCCTCGCGACCCCGCCTCCGGTCTCAGGCCCACGGTCCCCGGCCGCACGCCCCACCTCACGTTGTCGTGCCGCTGGATGTAAATCTTGTGGAAAATCCTCTCGGGGGGCTTCAGAAAGTCCTCCTTCATCTCCATGGCAACGTTCCGGGGCAGGAGGCTCATGAGCAGCCGCTCCTGGACGGAGAGACGGGGGGCGCAGTGCCACACAGGGCCCGCCCTGCCCACCCTCGAGGCACCCACCCAGGACGAGGGCGGCAGGCCCTCCTCAGCGCGGCCGCCCACGGACCGGCCTTGCAGCGCGGCCCAGCCCCAGAGCCCCCGGCCTGGGCGGTCACTGTGCGGGAACTCGGGCCCGGAGCGCCGGGCAGGCGTCTCCAGAAGAGCCGGCCGCTCGCAGCGCCCCCGCCAGCCCCCGGCCCCCCGCCCGCCCTGTGCCCCAGCTTCTCCAGGCACCGCCGCAGGAGGGGACCCAGGCCGCCTGCCCCACACTGAGCGAGGGCCACCGAGAGGCCCGTCCCCGGGGCAGGAAGGGGCCCCTGTCCTTGCCGAGACGAGCCGCCTTGGAGGCAACGTGGCATTTCCTCCTGGCCTCGTCCTCTGATTCATCCCTGCCCTCCGGGGGCCAGGCAGCCTTTCCCCCAGCGGGCAGGAGCCCCGCCGGCACTGCGCCGCCCACGTGGGCCTCGGCTTCCCCCCCCAGCCTCGGCCCCACCCTCCCAGGGCCCCGCCCCTGCGGGCCAGGACCGCGGCCACACCGGGCGGGAGGCCCGCCCCCTCAGGGCCCCGTCCACCTGCTTTGGGAAGAAAACCGAAGGAGGGGGCTGAGACCCCACACGGAATTAGCGAGTCTGTCCTCCCGAAGAGGGTGGACCCGGGCCGGGGCGCCGAAGAGCCCCCTCCTCACTCTGCCCCCCACCCCGGCGGCCCCTTAGAGACACGCACAAACCTGCAGCAAAACCAGCAGAGAGAGGCACAAACACACGGGGTCAGGAACAACGGGACACCGAAGACGTCCCGAGGCTAAAGGGAGCAGCGGCAGCTCCTCATGCACAACTTAGAAGAAACACACCACTTTCTCTAAAAGCATAAATTACAACAGTTCACTGAACGCGAAACAAGTACTGTGAAAAAAGTACTTGGGAAGCTCCATATCTACTAAAGAAATTGAATGCTTAACTTAAAGACTCATAGGAAAGAGCTCTCCGGAGCCCCACGGTTTTGCTGGACATACACACCAAGCACTTAAAGAAGCATCAACGCTAATTCCACATTAAATCTTCCATAAAAGATGAGGGAACACATCCCAATTCGTTTTATAAAGTTAGTATTACCTAACACCAAAATCATATAAAGACAAAAAGAGGAAACCGCAGACTGACGTCCCTGAAGAACTCAGACACAGAAACCTTTAACACACTTACTGGCGTTTCCGCGGCGCATAGAAGCCCGACGGGGGGACCCTAAGCCCGGGGCGCAATGCTGGGTCAGGACCGAAACACCAAGCAGCGGGACACAACATGTCAACGGGACACCAGTAAAAATCACACAGCAGTCCACGCGAGAAGAAACTCAGCAAAATTCGCCGTCCACGCATGATGAGGAGTCTCAGGAAATGAGGGAGGGACAGGAGCTTCGTCGTCTGCGGGAGGAACCCCCAGCAGGAGGCGCCGGCCGCACTGCTCTGGCGCCGGCCGCAGCCACGTGCACACCGGGCCCACGTGGCCCGGGACAGGCGGCCAGCGCAGGAGAGAAGGAACTGAAGCCGAGGGTGGCCCAGCCCGACCACCTCTCGGACCGCGACAGACGCCAGTCCCTCAGGTCCGCGCCCCCCTCCCGGGGCCCCGCCTCTGGGACGTCCCTGGAAGGACCGTGTTCCCCAGGAGTCGCGCACCTGTCCAGGCACCGGCGGCCCGGGCCTCCTCGCCGCACGCTCTCCCTGACCGCGCCCGGCAGGCTGCGGGCTTCCCTTTCTTCCAGAATCCGCCGCGGGAACTGACCCCTTTCTGGGAGTCGTCCGTGGTCGCCGCTTTGAAGTATTCGGCTGTCAGCTCGTTCCAAGCACCCTGTGATCTATTTTTACCCTGCCTTGACCCGCGGCCGCGCTTCCCCGTCCCTATTTCTGCCTCTCTTTCTTCCGGATCCAGGGCTCCAAGCCTTTTTTCTATTTCCAAGAGCTGGTTCTGACACTCTGTTCTGAACTGGAGATCGGGTGCCAGGCCTCGGCAGCGCTCGGGACACTTTCTCTGAGGCGCCCTTCCACCCAGAACCCGTCGGGGAGCCTCTTCAGGGTGAGGAGAGCGGAGACGTGGGATCTGGGCCTCGGCCTCCCCTGTCCCCTCTGCCCTGGCCCCTCTGTCACGTGCTCCGTTCTCCCTCCCAAGCCAGTGACGTCCTCCGAACGAGCCCTTCCTTGTTCCCGCGGGCAGAAGGACAGGCAGGACCAAGTTCCCTTATACTCAACGGTGAGGCACAGGCCTGAATGAGCTTAGCAAACCCGGGACCCAGACAGAAAGAACAGCCTGTGTGTCCCGCCAGGACCCTGTCCGGTGGCCGGACAGTCGGGAGGAGGGGTCGCTGCAGCCTCTGCGTCCAAGGCCTGTCACAGGGCTGAGCCTCAGGGACACTGACGACCGCGGCGGCTTTTTCAAAGCGGAGCAGAGGACCTCCTAGAGGTCAAGAGTCTGCGGAGCAGGCGGGCCCGCCCGGCCTCCCCGGCCCCTGGTCCTGCGGCCGCCCCGGGGCGACGGCGGGTTCGGGGGTTTTCGCTGTGACACGCTGGGCGCGGCCCTGAGTGTCTGCGTCCGCGGGCGCAGGGCGCCAGGCCAATCCAGACGCAGGCTCTGCGGCCAAAAGCCCAGGCGTCCTCTTCCCGTGACCTTCTTCCGCCGCAGGCCTCTTCTTTCTAACCATCGGGGTCCCTCCAGTACTGCTGCCAACAGCCCCTTCCCCAGGGGGTCGCCCGGCCGCAGACGCCGGCTCCTGTCCCCGAGCAAATAGCCCGGCCGCTGGGACCGACGCAGCTGGGCGCCTGCGTTTCAGAGCGGCCCCTCCCACAGACCCTGGTGGCCGGTGGCAGCCACACAGGCACGGACCCGCCCAGCAGAACCCCGGCTCCGAGCACCACGCACGGCTGTCTCCCGCCGGGGGGTCTCTGCCCGCGCAGCTGGCGCCTGCGCGCACCGGAAGGCGCGGCCCGGCCTGAGCACCGCCCACCCTGGGCTTCAACTACTCGGGCCAGCGAGGCAGGAGGGCGCCTGAGCGCCGGCGACCAGTGACAAAGCCGTCCGGGGACACAGCTGTCTCGTGACGGGGCCCACGGCGGCGCCTCTGTCGACGGAGGAGGCCCCGCGGGGCAGGGCGCTGACCAGCCGCACTCGGGACTGGCCAGCGGACTCGCGGGAAGCGAGCCGCCCGCGCTCACGGTCTCGCTCCGAAACGCGAGGAGCGCGGCCCAGGCGCCTGAACCCGCGAGAGACAGGGCTCTCGCTCGCACGGAGGGAGGCGGCGCTGGAGGGACGGGACCCACCTGCTTCTCGTTCTCGTCCTCCAGCCGCAGCCGGTCCTCGACGCAGGTCCGCGCCTGCAGGAAGGCCCGCCTCTGGGAGCGCTCAGCCAGCACCCGGGCGCACACCCCGTACATGTTCACACCCACGAAGAGCAGGGCGTTGGCGCCGAGCTGGAAGGGAGAGAGCAAGGCCGGTGGGCAGGGGCCTCGCGCGGCCAGGAGAGCCTCAGCTGCTCCCGCGCGGCTGTGAGAGCGTCTGTCCCTGTCACTGCAGAAACGGGGGGCTCCTGTGTCCAGCGACACGCAGGCTCTCCCAGCAGGTGCCAGGGCCCCCGCTGCGCCCAGATGCGCCAGAAACACTCCCGCACTGGACTGCCTGCCTCTCTCCACCACACAGAGCCAAAGGCCCCATGGTCAGCGGGCTGCAGGCCACGGTCACGGGGCTCCGGCTGAGCCCCGGCGCTGAGAGCAAGGAGAACCTGGGTGGGATGGGCTCCAGGGCGGGGGGTGGGGCCGGAGGTCCCCCTGGGCGCGGACGGCGGGGGGCGGGGCACGGCAGGAGGTCCGCGGCCCCGGGGCGTGGTGGACGGACGGGCAGGGCTGGGGCTGCCAGTGGCTTCCATCCAGGGATACAGGCGCTGTTTGCAGGAGGCAACGGCCGACACGCCGCGGGACGGAAATCCATAAACCCCAGCGCTCGACCGACGTCGCCAAACAGACAAAAGAGGGAAAAGGGGCTGCATCCCCGGGACCCGCCTGCTTCTCCTTCCTCCAGGTGGATGTTCAAACCCACAAAGTAGCCCAGGACTAAAGCCACATTGTTTCCCAAGAAAGACACATGAGGCTGCAAAATTAGAAACAGTGTTTGGAATCAGGGGCCTCGCAACAGCCACGCCTCCTGCTGGGGACGCCCCGGCCCCTCCCTGCCTCAGACACCCCTCACCCTCGTCTCCGACTCAGAACGCTGTTTGGGCTTCTGCCTGGGTCGGCGCTTGCCGATCGCTGTTCTTATTGATCTCACATGAAAGCTTGTGCCTCTTCTTCAAAAGGCCTGTTATTTCAGGGGCTGTCATCAGCACGCCAGACAGAGCCAATTCAGCCTCGCACACCCCCGCCCGAGCGGCACACAGACCTGTCCGCCTCAGACAGTCAGAGAGGGAGACCGCCACGCAAACACCCTCGGCCAGCGGACGGAGGGACTACGGGAGTGGCCAAAGGTCCTCTAAACACAGTGCCCGCTTTGACCCTGAGCCCCCCACCCCCGCCCCGTGGTCCTGTCCTCTCGAGCCGATCCTGGTCATCTTCCGTGTGGCCGCAGACACCTCCAGCCCCTCAACCCGGGCGCAGTCTCCCCACTGGACGCTCCGCAGGGGCACCTGGAGCCGGCCGGGAGCCAGGTGCGGGGGCGTCCGCGGGGCCGGCCCCGGCACCTCTCGGCAGGCTGGCGGCTGTGCCCGAGCGCCCGGGGCGCCTTCCGCCCTGGACCGGGCCATCTGCTGTGTTTGGACAGATGCTCCGGCCGGGCTGCTTACGAAGGCACCGGCGGCAGTTGGGAGACCGGCACGGAGGAAACGACAGAGCGCGTTTCCGTCGGGTTGATGTTTAAGCTGCACTGCGTGTGTTTAACGTGGCCACGGGCACCGTGGGGGCACGTTCACGGCCCAGGGCACATCCTCCCATGAGACGCAGGGCGATTTTGGCTCCCGGCCTCAGTTTAATGTCGTGAATGCTCGGAACACACGGCACGTGGGACGCGGGTCCTCCCGTGAGGCAGCGGCACCCCCCCCACGCCCGGGCCCTGGTCCCTGAGGGCCCCCCACGGAGCTCTCCGCGTCGGCGCCTCAGGGTGCGCACGTCGGGCGGAGGGGCGGGGGCCCGGGCAGCCTGGGAGCCGGGGTCGGAGGTCACTCCGGGGCCAGGCAGCCACAGCCCTTCCAGAAAGCAAGGCCTCAGCTGACCGCGGGGAGGGCAAGTGTCCCCACGGGGGTCGGCGTGCGACCGAGGGGCTGAGGCACAGGCCGGGGCCGGGGCACGAGGGCGGGGGGTGCAGGGCTGTTTGGTCAAGGGCGGAACCCCCGGTCGAGCTGGGGCGGGTCACCGGGAGCCCTCCCTGTCACGCCTCACACCCGCCTGCACCCCGCCTTCCCTCTACTCCGGCCACCACAGTGCCCCGGGAAACCGAGGCCCAGCTGGCGGTCCCTGAGCCCCCGCTGCCCGGTCAACGCTGCCTGAGTGGCTCACCTGGAGGAGGGGCCCCGTGACCTGCCCCAGGGTCGGCGTCTGGTGGGCAGCGGGGTGTGTCCCCCCTTGGTGGCTGCATTCGCACACCCGGGGGCTTCCCTGCCCCTCGCCAGCCGGCCTCCAGCAAGGCGGACGCCGCCTGCTCACCTGTCCCCAGCCTCCTTCACGCCCACGGCCCCGTGATCGGGCGTCGGCAGGCATGAGGGTGACAACGCAGAGAGCGGCCACCTGCCAGCAGATGTGGCTGAGCAGGGGAGCTCGGGGAAGGGCGCCCTCAGCAGGTGACTGCGGAGCCGGACGGACGGCGGGAGGCAGGCGGTGGGCGGAGGGGAGCAGGGACGAGCCCTGGACCTGCTCCGTGGTCAGTAAACACGGGCGCCCAGTGCCATCTTCCTCACCGGCCTCAGGACGACCAGCCAGGCCCCGCCCCGCGCGCACCCCTGGACCCACCCTATCCCTGGGCCCCTGTCGCCGCTGCCTGTGTCCGCTGTGCGCCCACAGATGGTCTAGAGAAGGGGCAGGAGATTCGAATACGAGCCTTTCCAACGCGAAGTTCTCACCCTCGCCACAGGCCTGCGGGCAGCTGGGCGCTCTTCATACAGGGGGCGGCGGAGGGGAGACCGAGGCTCAGCGAGGGAAAGGTGTGCCGTGCCCGGGGGGACAGAGCAGGAGCAGGAGCCCCGGAGGCTGCTCCGTAAGAGCCACTCCCAGGCCGGGGTCCACCTCCCTGGAAGGCGGGGACTCCCCACCCCCTGGAGACAGGCTGTCTCCTCTCTCCTTTGGCCGTTTAATTCTCTAAAACAGACGCGGGGAGGCTGCACGGGCCATTTTTTACTGGAAAGGGGGCAGCAGACGGCAAGCCCTTCGCAGCGCCAGCCGACCCCCCGCGGCCACACTCTGCAGCTGACCCGGCCCCTGTGCCTCCCGCCAGGTCCTCGTGGGGACATCGTCCTGGAGGGGGAGGGGCGAGGGGGAAGGGCGATGGCTGTGGGGGCCACACACACAGCAGATGGAGGGTGGGGGAAGAGCTGCAGGAGCAGCCCCCCCAGGAGGTCAGGCAAGGCAGGTGCCACCCACAGGCCGCCGGGGGGGGGGGGTGGCGGGGGGCAGGCTGTGGACAGGGCTTCTGAACCTCACCCCACCCCGCCCCCTCCCCCCGCCCCATCCCCCTGGGCTGGCAGCCCTGGCCAGTTTCCCTTCTCTCTGCCCTCACCCCTACTTCCCTTCCTCTCCCCGGGACCCCCTCCAGGTCCTCCCTCCTCCAGCCCCCCAGCCCCGCCCCTCCCCGGGCCCTGAAACATGGGTCCACAACCGTCTGTCCACCGGGTCCTGCTCTGACCACGTGTGTCCTGGAGTGACCCCGGCACCACCGACGCCAGGGGCCTCCCTCTCGTGCTCCCAACCCCGGCGTCGGATTCCCATCCCCCACCAGACGTCTCATCCGTCCAGTGTCCCTTCTCACCCGCTTCCCCCACCTCCTTCTCTACCTGTCGCCCTCTACCCCCCACCCCTCGGGTGCCCACCACCCTCTGGTGAAAACCCAGCCCGAGCAGAAAGCGGGCAGGGGGCTGCGCCCCGCGGAAAGCTGGAGACCTCCGAAACCCCCACGCAGCAAAGGAGGAGCGGGAGGGAGGGGGCTGCCCGTCCGCGTCCCCGCCCTCGGCCTCACCACCCAGCCGGGCCAGACGGCAGGGACAAAGTTCGGCGCTGCTAGCAAAGCTAGAGCCCCAGGGGCCGGCTGACCCCGCGCACCGGGGTGGTGGGGACCAGAGCCCTGTGCGACCTTGGCCAACCCAGTCCTTCTGGACCGGAGAAGGGCCCACCACGGGGCGCCAGGGCGACTGGAAGGGGCCAAAGTCCCTCTCCCCTCCCACGCCCACGCCCCCGCCCCGGGAGCCTCAGGGCTGGGAGGCGACTCTGAGAATCGGGCCCCCGCGCGCGCGCGCGCGCGCGCGCGCCGCCCCCGCCCCCCGGACGCACACGGGCGAGGAGCCCCCGGCTGTGCGCACAGCCGGCGAGGAGCCCTGCCCGCCTGGACCGGCTCTCCGCGCCCCGTTTCCGCCCCTCCTGCCGGGATGGGCGCACCCAGAACGAGCTGACCGGCTCCAGCCCCGCCTGGCCGCTCTCCAGCCGCCTGACCTTGGGGCACTCCTCCTCCGCCCCACACCGCTCTCGCGTCGCCACACTCCGCACCCGGAGGCGCTCTGTGGGCTGTAACTCAAAAAAGAGCTCAGCCCCAGGGTGCCAGCTCCTCTATGTCCTCAACTCACTGAGTGACCTTGAAGGCCCCCCCCATAAAAAAGATCGGGGCCTCAGTTTCCCCACCTGCCCTATAGGCAGATGCGCCCAGGTTCCCAGCATTCCCAGCCCCTCCTGGCGGGTGTGCCCCAGGCTGGAGGGGCGGCGCGAGGGGCACTCACCGTCCTCCAGAGACGCGGGCGCTTGGCGGGCACCAAGGTGGCCGTGACCACCAAGTGCGAGGCGGCCACCACGAGCCCGAAGCCGACGGCCAGCAAGCTGCGCACGGGCAGCAGGGCGTAGGACACGAAGGTGACCAGGAGGAGCTGCCAGACGCCCTGGTCCGCGGCCGCCGGCCCCGCAGCCGTCCCCGCGCGGAAGCCGGCGGGGCCGCCGAGCGCGAAGGGGCAGCAGAGCAGCGCGAAGGTGAGGCTGAAGAACAGCGCCAGCTGCCCGACCTGCTGCAGCTGCGGCACCTGCAGCGAGCGGACGTTGGTGACCACGAGCAGCGCCAGGAAGAGCACGCAGTGCACGGGGTGCGAGCCCTTGGCCAGGCCGGGCGCGGGCCCCGGCGCGCCCAGCAGCTCGGCCAGCGCCAGCGCGCCCGCCAGCAAGCTGAGCACGGCCAGCGCCTTCAGCGTGGCCGCCTGCTCCAGGCGCAGCGTGTAGCCGCGGAACAGCGCCTCCAGCTCGGGGCACGCGAACTCCTCGTCGCACGCCCGCAGCCCGCGCCGGCAGCCCGGCTCGGCCGCCCGCTCGGCGCCCCCGGGTTCGCCCGCACCGCCACCGCCACCGCCTCCGCCACCGCCTCCGCCTCCGCCGCCGCCTCCGCCGCCGCCTCGGCCGCGCGGCGCCCCCGCCATCTCAGCGCCATGCAGCGGGCGCGCCCCTCGCCGGCCGGGGCGCCGGGGCGGGCGGGCGGGCGGCGAGGCGCCGGGGCGGGCGGGACGAGTTGGGGCGCCGGCTTCCCCGCGCGCGCGCCCCGAGCGCGTCCCCTCCAGCCCGCCGCGCCTGCGCACTGGTGGCGCCCGCGCCCCCGCCGCGATCCTCGGGCGACCGCGCTGCGACAGCGGAGCCCGGAGCCGCCTGGCTGGGCGCGCACGGCCCACGCGCGTCCCCACCCCGCCACCCGCGTCCCCTCCTGCCGGACGGGCCGCGTGACCTTGGGCGCCTGCTTTGCGTCTCCGAGCCTCAGTTTCCCCACCCGTACGCAGCGCAGCCCACTGTGCCATCTTTGGGGTCTCTTGGGATGTTAAAAACGCTGAAATCCTGCGCGCTTCCCCCGCGCGGGTCCATCCTGCCACATGTGTGCCCCCCCCTCCCCAGGGGACCAGGTCCCTCAGTTCCAGCGGAGCTGGAGGGGCTGCCGCACCCACGACCGGGGTCCCGCGGGACGCAGGAGCCGCACCAAGAACCCGTGGCGGGAGCCCTATGTGTTCGCCTGCTCCCCGCCCCGCCCCCGCGCCCCGTATGCGGGACCCTCCCCGCGGCGGAATGAGCACAAGCCCCGGCCCTGGCTCCGCCAAACCCTGTGAGCCAGTGCGGGGCGCAGGCCGGTGGCGAGGTCCCGAGGTCTGGAGAAGCAGAGCCCGGGGGGCGGGGCGGGGGGCCTTCGGGGAGGGGGACCGGTGCCTCCTGGTCGCCCCAGGAGCGGGTCAGGGTCCCGGAGCTGAGGCTCAGAAAGCCACTGTGCGGCTGGTTCCGAGGCTGTGGGCGGGAAAGGACAGGGCGCTGCAGAGGCCCCGGGGGAGCTGGAACCCCAAGCAGTGATTCCTTCCAGCCCGGCCAATGCAGGGCGGTGTGCTCACCCTGCTGGATCCCCGCTTATGTGCCCCCCACCCGGCCCCACCGTCGGGAAGGGCTTTGTGCCAGAGACCTGTCTGTGCCATCTCCAGGGCTGCTCAGTGGCCCTCGGGCGGGCGCCTCTGCTCCCCGAACACGGACCCCCGGGTCAGTGCTGCCCTGGACGGTGCGGAGGGGTGCAGACCCTCCGCAGAAGCCCGGACTCCTCCTTAGAGGTGGGGCCAGGAACTGGGGTCCCATGAAACCAGACCTCCGGGGGCTACCCCGCCGGAGATCCTCCCCAGCCCGCTTGCCGGCACCTGGATTTAACTGGGGTGGCCCGACGTCGTCCTTCTTGGAGGTGCCCGGGGGTCCCGGCGGGCCCTGGCAGCGAACGCCTCCTGCTGCCGCTGGGTCTGAGGGTCAGGGTCCAAGGCGTGTTGAAGCCTGTCCGCAATCAGTGTCTGCGGAGCCGCAGGAAGTTGCTGTTTCCATAAAACGCCCAGCGTGGTCACACATCCGCTCGGACAGCTGTAGAGACGGCGCCTCAGCCTGGGCCCAGGCTGGGGCTTCTGCCCACTCCCTGTCCCCGGCAGCTAACTCCGGCAAGTGCGCGGTGGCCCCCGCGTCCCTCTGCCCCTCCCCACCCCCGGTCCCCAACCCCTCTGACGCCCACCGCTGTCTGGTCACCTGGCCATTTGCCTCCATCCCCGCTTGCAGCCAGTGCCCCTGGAGGGTAGCAACGGGCCTGGTCACCTGGCCCCACGTCTTTCTGTGGCTGACGTGGCACCATGCCACGCCTCCCCCTGCTTCTCCCCGATGGTAGCAACGTCGGCAGGATTTTCCTTTCCCTGCAGGTAAGTACGGAGGGCAGATCCTCTGGTCAACAGATGGATGTTCTGTGTCCTAAGGATTTTATGAAAGGAAAGCTGAGCGTCCCCCAAAACTTGACAGAACCACGTGCAGCGAAGGCCGTGGGACGAAGGGAGGTGGGTGACAGGTGACAAATCAGCAGCACCCTCCGCCCCCCATGCGACCTCCCGGCAGGGCCTGCCTTCCAAAGGGCCTGGGAGGGTTTGTCAGGGCGGGGGTGCCGGGCCACACGCGCCGTCCCAGCGCCGGCCTGTCGTCCCGTCGGCTCCTCGCGGCGTCCTCGACAGAAGGCCGGCCCCCCGCTCTCACCGACACAGAAGCAGAGGCTGCAGGGGCCGTGCCGAGTCACAGAGACGGGATGGGCCGGAGCCTCGCGGGAGCGCCGCCTCCCCGCGCCCCCCGCCCGGGAAGGGCTGTCCCTGCCAGTGGGGCGGCCTTGTCCTGCGACACGTTCACCCTCCCTCCCCGTTGCCGGGTGAACGTCGGAGGCCCCAGAGGGCAGTCTGCAGCCAGGGGCAGCGGGGACGTCAGCTGAGAGGCGGGGACGTGTGCACACCCTGAGCCCCGCGGGCGTCGTCGGTCGACTTGTGCCCCCCAAGTCCCACGCTGAGCTCCTCAGCCCCAGGACCTCAGAGCGCGACCTCGCGTGGAAACGAGGTCGTAGCAGACGCAGTTACGATGAGGCCGCACTGCAGCAGAGCGGGTCCCCCTCCAGCGTGACTGTGCCCCTACACAAAGGGACATCTGGAGACAGGCTGCCACCCAAGGAGGACACTGCCTTGGCCTGGAACGGTCCTTCCCGGAGCCTCCAGAGGGGCGGCCCTGCCCACACCCGGGCCTGGGACACCCGGCCTCGGGGACGCTCAGAGGGGACCTGCCGGGGCCGCTGTGTCGCCATGGCCCCAGCAGCCTGTCTGCCTGGCACCTGGTCTGTCGTGGATGACATTCCTGTGACAAAAGGTGACTCCGGACCAACAGCGAAGGCTGCGTGGACCACCAGGTCCGCCCGGCTCCGAGGGGGTGCCCACCGTCCGGGGCGTCCTGCTGGGCGGGGCCAGCGGGCAGCTGGCCATGTGCCCGCGGCCACAAGCACTTTCCTCTCAGGACATGAGGGGCCCGGTGGCCCCTGCGTCCCTCTGACTTTTCATCGTTTACAGTCCCGTGCGGGTCTTTGTGTTTGAGCCTCGCGGCGGTGGAGGCCCCCGGCCTGCGGAGCACCCTGGCTCACGCATCTCCCTGGCTGGTGGCCGCCCCAAGGGGACGGTCCCAACGGAGTGCGGGACCCGAGTCTCATGTCCCAGCTGGTGCCCCAGCGCCCTCCCAGCTGTGTGACTTCGGGAAGGTTGCTTGACCTCTCTGTGCTCTGTCTCCCCCTCGGGTCGGCTCACAGGGTTCTCGCGGGAGGAGGCGCCCAGTGCTCGGGAGCCGACGGAGAACCTCAGGCCCCGGCGGACTCCCCGGGGCCGGGACGGCGCTCGGGTCGGGCGTCCGTGCGGCCAGCTCGCGCGTCCCCCTCTTCGGCACGGACCGGGCTCCCAGGCGAGGCGCCCCAGGCTGGCGGTGTGTTGCAGCACAGAGCTCCCGGGGCGGGGGGGGCGGCTCAGCTGCCATGGGAGTGGCTGGCGGGGAAAGAAGCAGCCAACATGCAACAGGAAACGACAATCCGTGAGGGGGCCTTCGCCACAGCGCTCCTCGGTCAGCACGTCACCGCGCGGCCGGCTGGAGGAGCCGCGGAAGCGGGAGCCCCCGACGCCGGCCACGCGCCGGGCTGGGCTCGCACCGGCCCCCAGGCGCTGGACACGCGCCCCTCTCACGCAGGCAGGCGCCCCGCCCTGGCCTCGCCCGCCCTTCCCTGCTGGACTCGGGGTCGGGGTGTGCGGAGCCACGAGCACGACTCGCGGACGTCACTTAGTCGCAGTCAAGGGACCTACTGTGGAGGGGGTGCCGACGGCCTCCGTCGCCAGACAGGCTGCCCGACCCAGAGCCCGGACGGCTGGCTCAGGGCCTCGCCCAGCCACAGGTGGCTGCAGCCTCGAGCCCCGGGCTGGGGGGTCTCTGCGTCCGGCCCTGGACTTTGGGGCCACGTGCCCCATTCAGAAGCGTCCCTGTCCTGGGCGCGGGGACGTCGCTGTCATGAGGGACTTCACTGTTCCTGTCAGAACCACGCTGTCCGTCACGGAGGTCGGCCACCAAGCAGCTTCTTGGACGCGTTTTCACTGTCCCTGGATTTGCCCTGGTGACGGCGACTTCAAGAAGGGCCCAGTGGCCCCATGTCCTCGCGAGTGTGTCCTCTCAGACAAGGCCAGATGCTGGAAGGTGCAGGGCTGAGGGGCGGGCGGGACAGGCTGGTGTCCAGGCCCCGAGCCTGGCTGAGCGCCCCCTGAGCACGCTGGGGACAGAGCTGGGACAGGTGTGCCCCGAGCACCTCTCACTGGACCCTGAGCCACATCCACGTACTTGTCTCGGGAAGGACCCTGTGTGATCATTTTGGAATCAGCTGGATTGAGGGACTGGGCCTGAAGGAAACGGGTAGGGTGACCAGAGCCAGGCCGTGGTCGTGGTCAGTTAGGACTTGAGTCCGTGGGGGGTGGACGTGGGCTGGCCACCTTCCTGTCCAGTGTTCCAGAGAGCGCGGGGGCAGAACCTTCCCGAGAGGCCCAAGGGAGAGGCCCGCTGGGCAGAGGCGCTGGGAGCGGACACCGGGAAGTGGCGGTGCGGTCGGAGGCCGGGCGCTTTGCTTCCTCTCCCGGAGGCCCTGGTCCCTCTCCCCGCGTTTAAGGACACGGGGCCGGACTTCCCTGGCTGGGGTCCCCGTGGCGACCTGCTGAGCCGACGGACCACGGGGACACGCACGTGCGCGCCCGGCGCCGCAGGCGTCCTTCCCAGCGCAGCTCCGGCCCCGCAGCACAGAGGCGCCCGTGAGCCGTCCGGGTGCGGGGCAGGGCCGCCCGGGGCTCCTCAGGAGACACGCTGTGACGCAGGCCCCCCTGCCGGCCAGAGCGGGCAGCCCGGTGGGGAGGAGGGTGGGTCGCTCTGCCCGCAGAGTCGCTGAGAGCCTGCGGGGGAGGGGGACCCCCGGCTGAACGAGGCCGAGGGCGGGGTTCCCTGCGAACCCCCCACTGATGTCCAGGGTCCTAGTGGTTCATGAAACAACGCACTTGGTAGTCGCGCTCTCGGGGTCCGTCCACAATGGGGACAAAGACACGTC